AAAGATTTCATTTATGTATTTACTTACTTACTTACTTACTAATTCAAGGAGTCTCTTTAGCTCAAAAATGCCTTTCCTAAAAGGTAAGTGCCTGCACTGTGCATGCAAGCTTGGGCCCTCAACAATCTGAAAGGTTCCAGTTTACATACCACTCTTAGAAATTGGCAAGTAGACAACCAGACTAAAACGTGTTATCTTCAGGAAATAGACTTTGCTTGTTTATTGGATCCTCTCGTCTCTCAGCTGCCTCATGACTTCATTTTTAGTTGAATGCACTAGAGATGCTTTCATCTAAAACCTACACTTGAATATATGCAAATAAGAAAAGCATTTTGCTATTAATGTCTAACATATACGCAAGGTAATCATCTCCAACAGTTTTTGGAAGTGTCCAGAAATGTCTGTCCTGCTTTTTTTGCCTTTACATGCTTTCCGCAGCTCAAGTATTTAACTATTTTCCTTTGTTTTCTAAACACATTTAAAATATATAACAGAGCAATGTAAAGGACAGATTAGAAATATGAGATAATAGATGCTACGAAACCTAGAGAAACTATGTACATAGTTCAAGAGCAAAGTAATGAAAAGCTGATATACGTAGCAACAAATGAGAAAAAGGGAGAGAAAGAGAAGCAATTCTCTGCTTTAATTAATACAAGTGGTATTCACATTTTCTGAGACGGTATTGAGACTTTCAAGATAGATAATACAGGCAAGGAGCAAGATTGGTAAGGAGAAGCTTATACAATTTACATATATGACGGAGTTTCAAAGTGTTCATGGGGAAAATGTCGTTTTCCACAGACTTTCCAAAGCACTTTCATATTCACGCATCAGGCTTCTGTAATGGATCTATTCGGCAATATGTAATAAGATATTGGACTCGAACTTGCTAAGCTACACAAATGAAGAGATATTTGGAAGTTATAAGGTAAGCAATGGAAATGGCTGAGAATTCCAAATTAGAACTTACAGTGTGAGATGAGATGAAAATTGATAAAATGTGAGAAGCAATACTATTAAGGAACAGAATGAAGAAGAGAAGCTATAGAAATGATGATGATGATGATGATGACAACACTATGCTGGAGTGAAATTTCTTAATAATATGGTTCTTCAACCCAAGTCTCTGTAACTCCCCCCAAATGATTCAGTGAGACTATGCAAACAAGGTGTCTGTAACACTAATAGAGGGGATTGGTCAATTTTTGTTACCATACCTTTAGCTATAAAGATGAGGGATCTTTAAAGCAGGGGCAGTTTAAGAAACCTTGGAAGAACATGTTCAAGTTCTCTTTTTGAAGTGGTGAAGGCCACCGAGACCAGATGGATCAGAAACATTGGCGCGAAGACTCAGAGGACAGCCAAGTCTTTAGGGCACTTCCCCTAGGGTCTTCGGGGTGCCTTCCCCTTCTGGCCTGAGACTATGGAACTGTGGGACAGGGCTGCAGGCAGGCTGACTTCGGGGCCCGTGGAGGGAAGGGCCAAGGAACCGTGTGGCTGAGAGACTGAGGACCGGAGAGAGACTCAACTGCTGACTGAATAGTATCTTTACAGTTTATTGATCTTGATTTTTGGTAACCTATTGACTTCCCTAATAAACCCCCTAATTGTGCATGTTGTCTATTAGTTCGGTGTGGCCGTT